CATCCTTTCATCAGATGACTGAATTATTACAATGATAAGCATCTGTTGATATAAGCTCTAGAATTCACTAGCAAATACTACTGATAAATATCCTTAATTAAGTTTTACGTTTAGAAACACATTTTGACTTGAAAAAGATCTGAATTCATCCACATTAAAATAAAGAAATCATACCTTACTACAAAAGACAAATATTCAGTAGCAGTGTTTAAAAAAAAAAAAAAAAGTAAATTTTCCAGTGCATCAATGACTGCAAAATAAAGCCTGTCACATATCAAAGCAAAGCAATAAGGACAAAATATCTAAAGCCTTTAAGATCAAGAAGTTTTTTGTTTTTTTTTTAATTTATTTATTTGACAGAGAGAGATCACAAGTAGGCAGAGAGGCAGGCAGAGAGAGAGGAAGGGAAGCAGGCTCCCTGCTGAGCAGAGAGCCCGAGGTAGGACTCGATCCCAGGAGATCATGACCCGAGCAGAAGGCAGTGGCTTAACCCACTGAGCCACCCAGGCGCCCCAAGAAGTTTTTTAATCATTTTTTAATCATACAGATTCCCATGCCTCCTCCACTCAATTCCCATTCTGAATCTGTTTGTTGTGTTGGAATTGAGCGTGGGAAGAGAAAAATAATTTAAAAAAAATATAGCTCTTCCAGAGATGAAGACGCATGTACTCCTCAACCAGCACTTAGGAACTACTAAAGTGATGTAAATGGAGAACTGAATATGCCCACCTTAGATCATTTCTATAGAAATGCTAACTAGTTGGGCTTGCTGAGCGTCTCACAGCACACAACTTAACTCTTGACAGCAAAAGTGAAATGCAAACTTGCCTCTCAGGAACCAGTCAAGTGACCAGTTAACTGATGCCTAGAAAATGTACGGTTTCTCACCAGATTAACCCCCCTTGAATACGAAATTCCACTGGGAGTTTAGATGCTAATTTTGGCACCTAAACAAAGTCCCAAGTCTCTAAAAGGAGACCAAATAAACATTTTAGAGTACTTTAAGAAAAAGATCAACTTCCTATTTGGAATACTAACGCTATACCAACTTCTTATCACGGAAATACAAGTCCCTAGAACTTGCTACCAGACATTTCAAATGATTTGAAAAAAAATGAACAAAGAAGAGAAAAGAAGGGAAAGAGGGACAAATGAAGGGACAAATACTGACGCAAAATAAAAGGGACAATACCTTCAAGAGACCCATTAAGTTAGATGTGAGATGATTACACAGTACATATGCTCATCATTGTATTAAAGGATGGAAAACTGACACAAGTGAAACAGTTCAAAATATAAAGTTAGAGGACCCTAATAACTAAGCCACCTCCAACTCTAATCTTGCTGTACCCCAGGCCAAGTGAATCAATTTTGGGAGGTGGGATCCAGCCACCAGTATTTTGCAAAGCTCCCCAGAAGATTTCAAAATGCATCTAAGGTTGAGAACCACTGTCCTAAACCTTGGGAGTAAAGAGGCAATAAAAAGATGAACCCCACACAGTTCCAAGTTCTCCAAAGCGCAAACAATTCTCATTTCAAATAATACAGTTTTTTAGCTTAAATGTATTTGCAATTATCAACAACTTCAAATTAAGATGTTATAACAGATAGGGGCGCCTGGGTGGCTCAGTGGATTAAGTCTACACATTTCTGCCTTCGGCTCTGGTTATGATCTCAGGCTCCTGGGATGGAGCCCCCCTCCCCTGCACAGGGCTCTCTGCTCAGCAGGGAGCATGCTTCCTGCCCACCCACCCACCCCCACGCCCCTGCCTGCCTCTATGCCTACTTGTGATCTCTCTCTCTCTGTCAAATAAATAAAATCTTAAAAAAAAAAAAAAAAAAGATGTTAGACAATCTTTACAACCAGTCTTTGGTATCTATCTGACCTATGATATAATTTGCAGTAGCAAATAATCCAGACTTAAAATTATAAGATTCTGACCACCTATCATCTTAGTTTTACATAAGTAAGCACTACCCTAGTTTCTATCCACTCGCATGGTTAAAACAAATTTTCCTGGATGCCAACCACACCACAAAATAATGTCAAGGTGACACAACCTAAAATACCTTGTTCCTGAGAAACTGGAATTCAGCCACACTTCCCATCACCAAAATTACACATTTCAAAATGAGAAAAAAATCCAGAAATTCTAAATCGGACTCATTACCAAGCAGATGTTTTACCATATTATGATGCAAACAGTATCATACTGAAAGTTGCTCAAATGAATATCTACACATATTAACTGTTTGAATTTTTTTAAAACAATAAAATCTTCATCAACTGTTGAGTAGAAAGCCCAAAATTTGATAATTTAACAAAATTATATCCTGTGTTATGGTTATCCAAGTCCTTTAACTTTGATTTAGTGTAGAAAATAATGAAATCAATGAAACTGTTCTAGTCATGTTAGTTTTACACATGATTAAGCATCACTTCAGTCAACCTCTAATCACTTAAGCAAAGCAAAGATTTCTGCCTAACTACACAATCTTCTAGAAAAAAAGGAAATCAAAACATGTACAATGAGCATTGAAATGGTCAACTAAGATTTTAAAGACCCATTCACTCTAAAAATCACTGAACGAAAACTGAAAAAAAGTTAGGCATGAGCTAGAGGTGGACAATGTAGAACTAAGTTTAAACATAAGAAAAATAATGTACTCACTCACCAAAATAGGCAAAATTTTAGATGAGACAAATCACACATTTTAAATGTAATGAACAAGGCAGATCCTGCAGGGTTAACTGCCCTAGTAGAGGCCTCAGCAATTTACAGCTCAATGAGAATAGTGTCTAATGATGTTACTTTAACACCAGTTCAATCAGGAAGAAACAAAACAAAACAAAACAACAACAACAACAACAAAAAACCCAGCTTCCAAGCCAGAGAGGTATAGTGTGACTGGGCAGCATAAATGAGTTTAATGCTTGCTCTTTAATTGGGGGGGGGGGAATGACACCTACAGGGGAATGCAGAAAAAATAATTCACACATAAAGAAACAGCTCAACTAAAATGCAGCTTAAGAAAGTGAAGCATACGTAGATTTTTAGAAATAAGATTTGCTGCTTCATAGTATAAGCAGAATTGCTTCAAGCAGCAAAGTCATCAGAAAGGCCAATGATCCATATAAAACATATTCTAAAAATTTCAAATTCACTTTCTCAGCCCAAATTTTCATTAAATCTGCAACTGATTTGCAGTTCTTTCCTAAGCTCAAGATTTACAATGATGGCATTTAGCTAAACAGAGAAGCTTCTACTTAGGTACTCCCACTTCAGAAACAAACAAAAAAAAAAACTAAGATGTAATACCTCTTTAAAGCAACCTCACCCAAAAACCTGGAAAGCAAAGAAAAAGCCACTTCTATTAACAGAGTCACAAAATGGTTTATCAATTTTCTCTAGAAAGGCTTTTAGTTTTAATTCCAACAACTTAAACCTACATAATTCATTATCACCTTTAGACCTAAAAATACTGCAAATCCTAAATGCTTAGCCTGCCTGTATTACTCTGTTCTGTAACAAGTCCTTTTAAGAAAACAAAATCATCTAACTTATGAAACATTAGCAGAATATCATATTTTAAAATGTTAATTATATCAATCATTTACAACTTGAAATGTCATAAACTAAGCACATCAGAACTTTTCAAAAAGGAAAATAAGAAGTCCTTAGCAGAAAAAGAAAAGTTACACGTTAGAACTTACGATGCTATATTTCAACTGAAATATATTTAGTCTCTGTATAACAAGGCAAAGGCAATTTATGAAATCCACAATAAAATTTATCCCAATGCAATGTTCTAAATCTGATTACTTTTTGAAAATATGCATTTCTTTATTCTCTCTTAAGACGACATGGTCTCTTCCAACAAAAATACTGAACCTACTTTTCAAAAGCCACATAATCGAACTGTCATCAAGACTAAAAAGATGCTAATTCTGGCAAAAGTCAAAGGTTATTAACAAAAATTAGCCAATATTACATGCCTTTCAAAAATTAATTCGGACTAATTAAAATGATTCCACATTGTTTTGTATTTATAATTCCGGAATAACCGGCAATTTCACCCTCAAGTGTGATGCAAAAATTAAAGGCATTAAGAAACTAAATTCAAAATAAATAATTAGAAATAAATATGTTCATTAAAAAAAATTTGCCGGGGTTTTCAAAGGGGAAAATAGCTATCTATCACCAACAGAGTTTTTTTTTTAAAACCTACGTATACCCGCAAAGAAATCTTTCTAGTTAACCACACACACCCATTTCTTTGAAAATCTTGCCTGAGAAATTACAACCCCAGTTTGGGGCATGTGATGGAGCCACCGCCCTATATCCTACACCAATTTCACGCTCAGTACTTGTAGTCCCAGCAATAAGATAAACTGTGTCTTTATTTTTTATTAGGGGTGGGGTGGGGTTGGGGTGGCGGTCAGTTAGGTGCTTAGGCTGCCTCCCGCATACCGCCATCACCCACAATACTCAAAAAGTAAACAAATCAAAGCCAGAAACAAAACCTGGAATGACACAACCATGAAGGGAAAGTAAAGGACAAAGAGAAAACAAAAATTTCCTTGAGAAAAGAAATGACGGCAGGCCATTTACAACTTTCATTTATACCCAAGGCGACACACTCCAGCCTCCCCAGCGCGCCGGGCTGGGGCGGACAGTGAAACTACTCAAGAACAACAAAGAGAAGCGGCGGCCGCGGCAGGAGTCCCGGTCCGAGTTCAACTTGATTCTGCCACACACCGCAAGGGGAGTTCGGGGCCGGAGGACCGAGCCCGGAGCCCGAGGGACGCGGGGACAGGCGAGGCGCCGCGGCCCCGCCGGCCCGGCTCGTCAGGGGGGCCGCTCTCGCTCTCCCGGCGCACCCGCCGGCCTCCCGCTCGCTCCCCGCCGCCGCCGCCGGGAGCCCGCCCCGGGGCGGGGGAGCTGCGGGCGGGGTGCGCGGGCCCGGCCGGGGGAAGGGGAGGGGACATGGCGCGTTACCTGGGCTCGGGCGATGGCGAGGAGTGTCCGCTCTCCCGCCGCCGCTCGTCCGCGGAGGCGCCGGGCCCGTCGCTCCCCCAGCGGACCGGAGCGCTCCTCGGCCCCCGCCCCGCCGCGTCCGGGCCAGGCCGCCCCTTCTCGGCGCCGCGCCGCTGCCTGCGCGGGCCGCCTCGAGCTCCCGGGCCGCCCCGCGGCGGGGTGCCTCTCTCGCGGGGCGCCCGGCTCCCCTCACCCGCTCCCGCCCCCTGAGCGGCTGTGGAGTTGAGGGGAGGGCGGGAAGGGCCTTCAGAGGAGAGCGGGCGGGCGCGAACGCGGGCTCCGCCACCCGAGCCGCTCCGTTACCGCAGCGGCGACGACGACCAGGGCCGTGTTGTTGCTGCCAACTTGTCGAGAGGACACTGAGCATGCGCGCACGGAGACCACATCCGGGTAATTTCAGGGTTTGGCCCTTTTTCCCCCCGCAGCTTTCCTTTCTCCCTGCTGCCCCCGCCTCCCGCCCGGAGTGACGGGAGGGTCGCTCTGCGCCTGCGCCGGTGAGGCAGCACGAGTCGGCTGGCTTCCCAGAGTCCCGTTCTGGGCTCCGGCCCTGACTTAGGGCGCTGCCCCACAAAGGGCTGCTTGGAGGGAGTTCATCAGAAAAATTGGCATCCCTTTGCAGAAAAGTACTCAAGCAGCGCGAGAAAGCTCGGAGTAGAGTGGGCGTCCAGTAAGTGTTTATAAATAGCGATCAGCCGGCCCTTATGTTTTGAGGACCTGCGGGCACAAAAATTAGACTTGGACAGACAGCTCCGGGGTGAAGGTGGTTGTAGCGGTTCACTTTGGAAAGAAACTGGCAACGACCGCACCTTCCGTTTCCACCAGCCCTGGATCACTAGATCCAAAAGTGTTTAAACTTGCCAAATCCCTTTTGGGCTTAAGGGATGCACAGGAGAGTCGAGGAATCACACATTTGAGAATCTGGTCAGGTATTAGGAAAAGTGAGTAGAAGAGATTTCGGTGGAACCTCAGAGTTGGACGGGACCTTCAAGGACCTACAACACACCTGTTAACTAGGTTACTTGTTGGGTAGGGAAAAGCATAAACTCTGCTTTTGAATTAATACTCTTTTTGAAAGTTTTCCAAGATGCATGAATTTCTTTTATACTTAAAAAGTTTCAGAAAGCACATACTAATTATATAATTTTTAAATTTTTATTTTATTTTTTGCTACCACCTAGAAAATTCTTCCATTCGGGGGTCACATGAAAACTAAATACTGGGGAGTTCTAAAATCATTTCTTAAGTCTCTTCACCCTCCTACCTTTCACACACAGTGTCCTACCCCCTACCCTATTTCCATGCTGTCTTCCCTACCATCACATCCTGTGCTCTTACCTCTTCTGCTAGAAAGACTCTACAACTGTCATCTTCAATGGTCCTTACTCCTGGGGTTCAGGAAGACTTTCCAAGACTAGTTTTAAGGTAATTCATTTACAGATCCACCCCTGCTATATATACTATTTAATAAAATTGTTCAGCTTGAGAAATCACCTGAGGACAGAGCATCCCCTTTCAAAACTGTCCCACCTGACGGAACAAATTAAAACTCTCACCTATTACTTAAGGTGCATCATCAACTCAAGATGTTTTTGGTTGTTGTTTTGTTTTGTTTTGTTTTGTTTTGTTTAAAGAGAGAGTGCTGGTAGGGAAGGAGCAGAGGGAGAGGAAGAAGGAGAATCCCAAGCAGACTCCGTGCTGAGAGCTGAGTCTGATGAGGAGCTCAAACCCACAACCCTGAGATCACGACCTGAGCCCAAATCAAGAGCCCAACACTCAACTGACGGAATCACCCAGGCACCCCAACCCAAGATGTAAAACCTCCAAGGTAATTCAAAGGGACAATTCAGAACTTGGTGTTATGATGAGAAAGTGAATGACCTGAATGAATGGGTTATAAATTCTTTCCCAAGTCAGGCTGTTTCCATTTCTTTGCTATCAACATAATTGAAGGAAGGTCTAAGCAGGTGATTTGGTAATAGATTAACATGTGGTTCCTGGGCAGTATACCTCAGAAGGAGTTAAAAGTAACATCGCTCTAGGGGCACCTGGGTGACTTGGTTGAGCAGCTGACTCTTGATCTCAGCTCAGGTCTTGATCTCAGGATCGTGAATTCAAGCCCCATTTTGGGCTCTGCACTGGATGTGTGTGGAGATAATAGTAACATCGCTGTAACTAACCCTCTTCCATTCTCATCTGTGTTAATTATTACTGTATAACAATTCAACCACAAACTTAGCAGCTAGGGGAGCCTGGGTGGCTCAGTGGGTTAAAGCCTCTGCCTTCAGCTCAGGTCATGATCCCAGGGTCCTGGGATGGAGCCCCGCATTGGGCTCCCTGCTCAGCAGGGAGCCTGCTTCCCCTCTCTCTCTCTGCCTGCCTCTCTGCCTACTTGTGATCTCTGTCAATAAGAAAATAAAAAATCTTTAAAAAAAAAACAGAAAGAAAAAACTTAGCAGCTTAAAACAACACACATTTGTTAGTTCACAGTTTCTATGGGTCAGGAGTTTAAGCAAGGCTTAGCTGGGTCCTTTGCAAGATCACATAATGAAGCTTGGCTGGGAGAGGATGCACTTCCAAACTGTGCTTGGCAGCATTCAGTTACCTGCTGGCTGTAGGACTGAAGGCCTTGGCCCCTTGCTCACTGTCAGCTGAAGGTCCCTTCAGTTCTTTTTTTTTTTTTTTTAAGATTTTATTTATTTATTTGACAGATGGAGATCACAAGTAGGCAGAGAAGCAGGCAGAGAGAGAGAGGAGGAAGCAGGCTCCCCGCTGAGCAGAGAGCCAGAGCCCCCGCTCGATCCCAGGATCCTGGGATCAGGACCTGAGCCGAAGGCAGAGGCTTTAACCCACTGAGCCACCCAGGCACCCCCCTTCAGTTCTTTGTCATGTGGCACTATCTGTAGGGACGCTTACAATATGGCAGCTTCCTTCTTCAAAGCCAGCAAGGGGGAACGTCTCTGTAAGATGCTGGTAACAACCTTCTGTAATATAATCATGTATGCCTTGTCACATACATCATGTCAGCTTTGCCATACTCTGCTGGCCAGAAGCAAATCACAAGTCCCACTCTCACCTCACTTAAGGGAAGGAGACCACACAAGGGCATGACTGCCAGGAGGCAGGGATCACGTGGGGCCACATCACAGTCCACTAACCCATCGATTTATTTATGCAAATAATAATCCCTGCAACCCAACCTCCTCAGAATTTCTCTTCAGGTTGTCTTCACTTTCTTGCTTAAGGGAAACCTGACTTTCCCCCCTGGAACAGTGAATCTCTTGCCACCCTCCCAAGTGGTGGCAACTTGGCCAACTCGGGCAACTCGACCATAAGCCTCTCAGACTGTACCTGGAAGTGGGGTGGATGTCCTCCTTGCTCCTCAATAGACCATCCCCCTCTCACTACTAATGTGCAGGTTTAAATCTTGTTATACAGGACCCCTCATCGTTGCTTCCATTTCCCTTCATTTTTTCACTATTTGCTCCCATCAGTCATTCCAATACCACTTTGGTCTTAATTCTAGGTGCTTCTAATGTACATGTGGATGATCTTCCCAATACCCAGACCTCTCAGTTCTTTGACTTCTTCTCCAGAGATCTTGGCCTACCCTAACGTAACCACTCACTCCCATGGACAGAATCTCAGAAGCCTTATCAAACTGCAATTTCATCATAATCACAATTTCAAACATCTTATACTCTGAATACTATCTCATTTCCAAATTTCCTTGTAGCAATTGTTCAAAGTACATATCCACTCTCTCCTGTACTTACCCAGCTTAAACCCCTGGCCAATTATTGTATCACTCCATTGCACACACCTTCAACCCCAGTACTTTCTTCTCCCTTTGCTCTGCATGCTTGGCAAAACCAGAATCCTGGTCAAGCCAGCTGTCCACCTACTCCACACCAGTACCCCTGCATCTGAAAGTGGCTAGAGAAAAACACAATCACACTAGTGAGTTTCACTTTAATTTCACCACCTTTAACCACCAGTGGGCCCTTAGTGCTGCTCCAGAATTCCACTTCCTTCCTCCATTCTTCTGGATTTCACACCTCTCTGTCCTCTAACCTACACTTCCTTCCCTTTCATCCTCATTTCTCAGTTAACAACCTTGCTTTCTTTTTCATTGAGAAGATTGAAGCAATGAAATGAAAATCTCACAGAATCCCACAATCTCATCTACCCATACCCACATACCAACATCTTTAACCTCTTCTCCACCTTACCCCCCCCCCATTATGTAGTTGAGTTTTCCATGCTCTTAGCCAAAGGCAGTCCCTCTGCTAAGACACCGAATCCCAATCTTGGCTTGCCTAATCAAGATCATCAACATCACTCCAGCAATTACACCCCCCTTACTTATCAATGTTTCCCTCTATGCTGGGTCATTCGAATCACTTATAAGAAGTTATTTCTCTAATCATAAGAAATCTCTTTGACCCACTTCCACCATCAACTACTGCCCCATTTCTCTACTTCAATTCCAACAGAACTTCTAAAAGAGTTTTCTATGCTTTCTGTCTCTAGTTCTCCCCTCTCTGTAGCAGAATACATGCCATATGATAAAATTTATAAAAAGTTCAAAAACATGCCAAATACAATGCTTATGATAGGACTATATACATATATAATAGAATCATAACAATGCACACAAGGTTACATATGTGGCATATTTTAGGGGTCCAGCTGAGCCCGTCTCCCACCTTCTCTTAGAGCAACCCCATTCATGCTTTTATCCTTACCACATTATCAAAACTATCAAGGTCAACAATGAACTTCATATTGCCTAAGTCCAATGATTTATTTGGAACTCTCATCTTGATTGACCTGTCTGTAACAGCTAACACAGCTAATTACTTGATTCACATTTTTTTAAACCATATCATCTCAGTTTTCCTCCTTCATCACTGGTCCCTCTTTCCCTGTCTTATTTCTTCTTTGTTGATTCTCTTTTCCCAGACCCAGGGCCTGGCAATGACCTAGGGCTCATTCCTTGGATTCTTCTCTTTTATATCTATACTCATTTCACTGGTGAGTCTCATTAAGCCTTCTAACTTTCAATACCAGTATCAGAGATAC